CCCCGCCGCTCTCGGGCTGCCAGGGCCTGGCTCCAGCCGCTCGGCCCGACCTGGCCCGCCCCCGGGGTGCATTGTGGGAAACGTAGTCCGCAGCGCACGGCCTCCTGCGGCGCCGCGGGAGCAGTTCGGAGCTCCAGGTCCCAGCGGAGCCGGGGGCGGGGTCTGATCCGGTCCGGGTGGCCTCGCCTGGCGCCGCCTTCTCTCTTGTCCCGGAGGCCGGATCGCCTTTCTGGAGCCCAAAGTCCCGCTCTGACTGCAGACTTGGACTCTCCCGATCTTCTGTCCAAGCCCAACGCCAGTTTATTTCAAGGAACAGAAAGGGATATTGGCATTGATTCCCCGCTGATTGTGGAAGGGCAGTGCAGTTTGGGGGACTGGATAAATGTCATCCTTGGACCCAGCCACACCGCCTGTAAAGGATGTGAGCATGCGCAGAAGACGCACTAAGCGTTGCTAAAAACATTTTTTTTTTTTTGGCCACGTTTTTATCAGCTCTGACTACACTTATAATGACCCCAGGAGCTTTAAAAAGAGCACATATGTTTGGACTCTGGCCCTAGAGATTTTGATTTAATTTAACTGGAGCTGGAGCCGGCCCAGGTGATTGGTCAGGGCCAAGAGCCACCTTTTGTGATCTCCTAGAGGCAAAGCAATAAAATCAACAGGAAAACATACGTCTGTCCCAAACATCTCTTCTTTTTGGAGAACAGTGTAAGGAAGGAAAATTAGAGATTACCAGCACAGCCTTTTTTTTTCCCCCTGAAGCAGCGAACCCATTTTATAGCTTTGTGGTTAAATCTCTCAACAGCTCTGGGATGAAGGGAAAAGTCTGAAATCACTCCTACGGCCCTCCCTGCTGCTCCCACAATGACCCCAGTGCCATGTCCTGTCCCCCTCAGCCCTACACTGGAGTCGGGGAAGATTGCTCCCCCCCCTTATCTCAGAAGGCTGCCACCTGGCACCTGTCTCCGCCACACTGGGTAGGACTGACATGGGGACAGAGCTGCTGCTTTTTACAGGAGATGGCTTAGCACAGGGCTATCAGATCCCTACGCAGAGTTTAAGAGAAGCTTTCTCCCCTGCTTTTAGGTGAGAACATAGGAGAAAATGCCCTATTCCTTAACAACGCACTCCCTAGGAACGGAGAGAGGAGGAAATTCTCCTGGTCCTCCCTTAGAGCAAATACATAGTTTTGTTCACATTATTACATTATAAGGGTTTAAGCCAAGAAATTTTTTTATTTTTGTTTTGTTTGCTATAGGGTATATGCACTGGCCAGAGAGACACAGAGAGGGAGAGAAAGAGAGAAAGCAGCCCCCAGGGGGGGATGACCACACTGTAATCCCTTCTTCTCCACTCTCCTCTTGGAATTTTGGGCACATACACATGCCCAGCATGTATTCCTTTTTTTAAATAAAGATTTATTTTTACATTTTAAAAGTTATTTATTTATTATTTTTACAGTTTGCTATAGGGCATGTGTGCTCACCAGTGAGAGAGAAAGAGGGAAAGTGAGAAAGCTAGCTACCAGGTCCAGCACTTGAACTGTGATCAGTCATGTGGGAGTCCAGCACCTTAACCACCATCCCACCTGCTAGTTCCCACAGCATGTATTTTGAGCTGCCAGTTGCAGGACTCAAACTGCACAGTCAGCCATGTGGGATCCAGTCACTGCAACCATCATGCCACCTAGCTGCCCCAAGCCAAGAAGATCTTGTATGCTCTTGTTACAGAAATATCCTGGGCTCAGTCATGGTGGTGCAGGTGACAGGGTACTGTTGCCTGGTGCGGGAGCCACATGTGAAGACCAGAAGGTTCAGATCCCGGCGTGACCTGAACATATCAGGTGAGCCTATGGTCCTGCTGATCCTGGCTGGCTGGAAGGCTGAGAGAAGTGTGAGGAGGCCATGGCAGGGGCTGCTCTTTCTCTCTCTCTCTTTTACTCTCATGATACATAAACTTAAGAAAAGATGGGACCAGCAGTTGGTGTAATGGCTATGTCGTTGGACTCCCATGTAGTCAAACACGGTTGAAGTCCCAGACCCAGTGGCTTAAGCTCATGCCAGGTGCATGTGCGTGCGTGCCCGAGATCCCGAGAGGAGAATGGAGGAGAAGGAATTGTGATTGCGGAGTGGCCATGTCCCCTGGGGGATGATTTCTCACTTTCTGTCTCTGTCTTTCTCGCGAGTGCAAAATCCCCTAAAAAAAAAAAAAAAAGAAAGAAAGGAAGGAAGGAAGGAAGGAAGGAAGGAAGGAAGGAAGAAAAAGAACTATCTTAATCTATATTTCAGGGGCCGGCAGGTGGCGTGGTGGATAAGGTGCTGGACTCCCACATGGATGACCACAGTTCAAGTCTTGGACCTGGTGGCTTGCTTTCTCACTTTCCCTCTCTCTCTCTCTGTGTGTGTCTTTCTGGTCAAATTAAAAAATAAAGTGAATGAATAAATAAAATAAATAATTCTTTTTAAAAAAAGCTGTATTTCGGAAATTAAAAGGACTTAAACTTTACGAGAAGTTAAACTCCATAGAATTGACTTAACTGTAGTTAAACCCCGTAGTGGGTGGGAGAGGAGAAAGCGTCTCACATAGAAAATGGTGACACTGCAATCCCTTGTCCTCTACTTCTCCATCCTGTTGGGATTTTTGCACCCACATCCATGTATTTCATCAAACCACTGAGCTGGGACTCAAATGGGAGGTTGACCATGGGGGATCCAGCTGCCTTAGTCACCAGGAACTGGTCATGGGACTGGCCTTCCCTGTCTCTTATTTTAACATTTGACCAAATCTCTTTCTTTTCTTTTCTTTTTAGTTTTTTTTTTTTTTAAGAATTATTTATTAATTTTATTTATTCATTTATTTATTATTTTAATTTGACCAGAGAAAGACAGACACACAGAGAGAAGGAAAGTGAGAAAGCAAGCCACCAGGTCCGGAACTCAAAATGTGGTCGGCTATGTGGGAATGTCCAGTGCCTTAGCCACCATGCCACCTACCGGCCCCCTCTTTGTTTTCTTTTTAGTCTTTCCTTTTAGTTTACTACAGGGTGTTGTGCACTTGCTGGAGAGAAAGGAGAGACAGAGAAAGTGAGAAATCACCGTCTGTGGGACGGCCACACTGCAATTCCTTCTTCCTTCTTCTCTCGGGATTTTGGGTATGCACACACATGTCTGGAGTGATTTTCAGGCCCTCAGATCAGGACTCGAACTGCAGAGTTGGCCCTGTGGGATCCAGCCATACGCACCTCCACATCACCTGCTGGCCCCCAAGTCTCTACTTTGGATGCTGAAGACCCATGACCCCAAATGAGACCAAAGCAACAGAGACGAAAGGAAATTATTTTCCTCTTTGCTGGATTTCGTCCATGAGGATGAGCTGCTAAAGGTGAACCTGTCTCCCACATTGAACCCTGTACTCTCCATTCCAGATGAGGATGCTACTCTGGGTCAAGTTTTTATTTCTTAAAAAAATTTAAAAATAATTTTTTAAGCAAGGAGGGTGTAATTTGACGGAGTCTCACTGCATCATCATTCCTGTTCCTCAGCCTCTCATTTATCTAGGACCACAGACACATGTCACTGTGATCATTTTTTAAAAATCATTATTATTCTTATTTTTAATTCGAACAGAGATAGAGAGAGGGAGAATGTGAGAAAGCAAGCTGCCAGGTCCAGGACTCGATCCATGGTTGGCCATGTGAGAGTTCTCAGCACTTTAACCACCATGCCACCTGCTGGCCCACTTCTTGGTCTTTAGCAGCAAGAGTCTCACAGGAATATGAGCTCATGTAACTTAGAAAAACAAATGATCCAGATATGTCCTCTAAAAACCCTCAATCGCATGTACGGAAGAGCAGTCAGAGCACAGCTTTGTTGGAGGACTGATCTGGCTTGGAATTCCCTCCACCTTCCCTTTCTATCTATGGCAAGTTACTCAACTGAATCTTCTGGGCCTTGACTCCCTTAATTATGAAAGGGGATACTATCAGGTGGTTATCGTGAGGATTGGATGAAATCTTGAGTGACCCGCCAGCCTAACCGCCGTGGGAGGCAGATAGTGTGATAAAAGGTAGCAATCGCTCTTTGACTCAATTCTCGTTGCTCCTCTCGCTCCCCATCTCAGAGGCCTCAGACCTGCATTGAAGACCGAATGCTCTCCCTATCTTTTCCTGCTCCACTTGATGCTTCAGGTGGTTCTCCTGTGGATGTTTCACGCTTCAGATCTTGCCTTGACATGTTCCTCTGGGGGGACCCACATTAACTTAGAGAAGTGTTTTAAATTGTGCTTTAGGAGGAAATAGCCACCGAATAAAAATTACCTTAATTTTCCCACGGGAATCTAATGCTCTACATATTCTTGTTCTCTTAGATTAGTTTGGTAAATTATATATATATGGTTTTTTTGGAGAGGTTTTCACTATAGGGCACATGCGCTCGCCAGACAGACAGAGAGACAAAGAGACAGAAAGTGAGAAATCACCCCCCAGAGGGGATGGTCACACCACAATCCCTTCTCCTCCATTCTCCTCTCTGGATTTCGGGCACGCACGCACACGCGCCTGGCGTGAGTTTTAAGCCACCGGGTCCGGGATGCGAACTGCAGTCGACTACGTGGGAGTCCAGCGACATAGCCATTACGCTAACTGCTGGTTCCCTATTTTCTTATAAAATTGTCCATTTCAGGATTGGCTCCATGGGCTGGTGGTTAGGGGAGCCAGATCCCATATGTCTCAAGTCCTGGCCCTGGTAGCTGGAAGAACATGCTGGGTATGGGTGTGTACATGGCCAGACTCCCAACCTGAGCTCCTGTTCTTTTACCTAAACTGCTCCTCTGCTACACTCTTCCCTCCCTTCCTTCATCTCAGCCCAGCACAGCACGTCTCCTATGTCTTCTGTGGCCACATTAGTACAAGCAGCGCCCTTCTGTGGTTGCACACTGCAACAGCCTCCTATCTGGCTGCTCTTCCCCACCTTC